ATTTATTTATTTTTAAAGAGAGAGTGGGAGAGAGAGAGAGAGAATTTTTTAATATTTATTTTTTAGTTCTCAGCGGACACAACATCTTTGTTTTGTATGTGGTGCTGAGGATCGAACCCGGGCAGCACGCACGCCAGGCGAGCGCGCTACCGCTTGAGCCACATCCCCAGCCCCAACTAGTTTATTTTTAGTAATTAATATATTTTAAAGAAAATCAGATGTTCAGAGTTTTACAATAGGAGAAGTCTGGATAAATAAAAAGTTTTGAATAGCCTTTGAATGGATGTGGTTCTCAATTCTAATTGCCTAGCCTAGGGTTAATTCCTTTACCTTTTAGTATCTCAGTGGCCTCTTGCATAAAATGAAGGTTGAACAAAATTGTATTTTATCAGAGACCAAATGTCTTGTCACCAAATTCTTCTACCCCATATCAGGTCAACTTGATCAATGCAGTTAAAACGGTGTTGTGTGCCAAGCCCATATTTCACTTTAAAGAGGAAAAGCTGCCTTGGTCCGATGGCCTTTATGTGAGAGGCAGTAAGAGAGACCCTTGTTTGTCCCTGGTTGGCTACTGTGTGCTAGACTATTAATTTTGTGAAGGCAAACCGTGTCTTTCTCCTATCCCTAGCCTGAGGCCAGATACTTACCACATGGATAAATGCTCATTTGTTAAATATTTGTTAAGTGAATGAATGTCAGTAAAGAATATTTTCATACATTGCCTCAGCAGCCATCCCTGCGATGTGGTGGTATCAACATGATTTTGCCAATGAGTAAACTCTACCTTGAGGCTTAGCCACCTGCTCAGTCATTCAGCTGACTTCAAAGACTGATACCTTAATTTTTGTTTAGTTGTGGTAATATAATATCTATATGGCATAGAATTTACTGGTTATCCATTTTAAGTGTATGGTTCTTATGACATTAAGGATATTCATATTGTTGTAACCATTACCACCATACTTCTTAGCCTGTGTTGTTTTTTCACTGTTGATTGCTTTCCTTGGTTGTTCAGGGTGTTTTTAACTATCTGAAATAAGACTAAAAACTCCTGTTGAGCAAAAACACTGAAGGAACCTGGGAGATAACTTTCCGACGGTCCTGAATATTGGGTCAGTGTTTTTCCTTTCCTTTCATCTCAGCCAGTTTTATTTCTATGTAGAATTTCTTGTTGGCTAATAATAGCTGAGCATGTTGTTTTGAAAGGGAGTACATGTTATGGCTGCTTTGCTGACTCTGGATTGAAGCTGTTTGGTCTGTCCCTGCTATTGTTTGGTTCAGTGGGACAGTAGTACTAATGATCCAAACTCAGCAACCCCGTGTACCTGTCTTTGGAGCTGTGTATCTGCCTGATGGATTGGAGCCCCACGGGGCCACCGTCCACTTTCTGCCTTGTACTTGGGAGATGAATTTGCTTTGTCATTCTGCACTCTAACTTACTGCCAGAAGTCCAGTTCACTACTTTCAGTTTCAGTTTGGACTTGTAAAAAATGTTTCTAAATCTTTGTCCTGCTGAATTATCTGTATAATACTGGTACAGATAAGCAGCTTTGTTGTCTTTTGCTGTAAGAAGAATTGGAATGTGTGAAAGGAGATCAAGGCGGGGAATGGATCTGCCTAAGTAGCATAGCTTGACTTTTCCACTTGATAGTTCTTACTGCAGTGGTCTTGAAGTCCTGTCCTGATGGTAGAGTCAAGGGGTGAAATAAAAAAAATGCTGGAGATGAGAATTTGGTAACTGTCCCTGGTGTACAAATAGTTTCTTCTCTCCGAGTGTTTTTTTTTTTTTTTTTTTAACAGCCAGGTGAACAGAAACCAATTCAGTAGGCTACTTGCTAGAGACCTGAGACCAAAAAATATATATTTTTATCTTTTTTTCCAAGCAGTGGGATTGCCAGATCACATGGTAGGTTTTTTTTTTCTTTTTAGTTATACATGACAGTAGAATGTATTTTGATGTAGTATACATACATGGAGTATAACTTCCCATTTTTGTGGTTGTATGTGATATGGAGTCACAGTGGTCAAGTATTCATAGACGGACAAAGGAAAAGTTATGTCTGATTCATTCACTGTCACATTCCTATCATCTTCCAATCCAGTGAACCTCTATCCGCCCCCCACGCCTATTTCGGATCAGCATCTGCATATGAGAGAGAACATTAGACCGGGTGGTCTTTTTGGGATTGGTGTATTTCATTCATGATAGTCTTCAGTTCCATCAATTTACCAGCAAATGCCATGATCTCATTCTTCTTTAAGGCAGAGTAATATTCCATAGTGTATATCTACCACATTTTCTTTATTTATTCGTCTGTTGAAGGCACCTAGATTGGTCCCATAGCTTAGCTATTGTGAATTGAGATGCTATAAACGTTCATGTGGCCGCCTCACTATAGTATGCTGATTTTAAGTGCTTTGGGTATGTGTCGAGGAGTGGGATAGCTGGGTCAAATGGTGGTTCCATTCCAAGTTTTCTAAGAAATCTCCATACTGCTTTCCGGAGTGGTTGCACCAATTTGCAGTCCCACCAGCAGTGTATGAGTGTACCTTTTCCCCCATATCCTCACCAACATTTACTGTTACTTCATATATATATATATGACACAGCTTTTACAATATGTTTTCAAAAGAACAGATTGCAAACTAGGCCTGTTTTTCTTTCATGTTATCCCTGATCCTTAAGGGTAAGTCTGAGTCCAGATGTACTTTTCTGTTTGTAGGTACTCTGTGATTCCTTAAGTTTGATCAGTCACATTATACTTTAGTTTGGATTACTATCAGCTAGATAGGAAACTGCTAGGAAGACCAAAGTCCAAACCTTTGTATTGAAGAGTTGGGCAAACAGGTACAATGTGGACTCTAGCCCAGCTCTGTTTCATGTAATTTTATCAAGCACACATGATGGACAGACAGTTGGTATTATAATTCCAGTTTTTACTGACTAATATGACAGGCCACCATTGCATGAAGCTTGACCTGAGGTAGCCACTCTAAATATAGCCTTCCTTTTTGGCAGTTGTAAACACCTAGAGAAGCCCTCAGCAGAAAAGTATTTGCTGTTAATAGCATGTTTGTTGAACAGTTGCATACTGTCAGAGCTTTTTTCATGCTGTTTATGCATAATTAAAAGCAGCCACAAATCCACTGGCTTCTGGTTGGGTTATGTTTAGAAACATGCAGTTTGGTTTGTTGTCTACTATGGGAACTGGGGATGATGTCACTGATTGAAGTAAGACCAGAGACAAGCAGTTAAATTAATTAACAAAAAATTGTTTTTGATCTCTGTAATGAACATAGCTTACTTAAACAACCTTTATGGCCTTTAGTTTCTGGCACTGATGAACCAAGCTGTCAGTGTTGTGATTCCGTTCAGTTGGGAAGACTCTGGTTTATGTGTTTGTAGTTCTTTTGACAAAAGGGAGTTTGCAAATAATTTCAGAACAATACCAGCATTTATAAAATGATTCTTCCAAAAGTAAAACTACAAATAGCTTTTTTATGTCTAAAAAGATACTCAGTTTCCCATATAAAAGTGAACAGCTGCTGGGCACAGTGGTGCATGCATGTAATCCCATCAACTGTAGAGGCTGAGGCAGGAGGATTACAAATTCAAGGCCAGCGTCAACAATTCAGTGAGCCTCTAGGCAACTTAGTGTGACCTTGTCTCAGAATGAAAAAGGGCTGGAGATGTGGCTCATTGGTTGAGTGCTCCTAGGTTCAATCCATGGTATCACCCTCCCCTCAAAAAGTGTAAGGCTCTCTGTGTGTGGGGGTGTGTGCGTGCGTTTGTGTGCATTCATGTGCTTGCTAGGGATCGAATCCTGAGCCTTGTTAATGCGGAGCATGTCCATGATCACTGAACTATGCCTCCAATCCTCAGAAAAAACATGGTAAGATCTTACTGATATGTATATATTTACCTGTCAGATTGGCAGAAATAAAAAATGTTGAAAAAACACTGTCAATGAGAAGAGGCGAAATTGGCACTCATAATTCTTGTGGGAGTGTTATTATACAACTTTTATTAGAAGAAAGTTTGTATATATCCGTGAAAACTGCAGCTATGTGCCCTTTGATCAAGCACTGTCACTTAGAAGAATTTATTCTACAAATAACTGTGCATGTACACAAACTGATGTGTGCCTAAACTTATGAAAAAGTTGAAGATTGGGAACACTCAGAAGTCAGTTGGTTAAATAAATAATGATAACATCTATATAATGAATTCAGCTATAAAAAATGAGAATATGCAGTATGTAGTGATATAGAAATATCTTCAAGATATTGTGCTAAATGAATAAAACTAGAGTAGTGGGTAATATGACATCAGTTATGTAAACAGAGGAAAACATGAATATATAGCTCATTTTCTTGTATGTGCCGGGAGGAAGTGGAACTGAAGTTCTGGAATGATATTTAAGAAAGTAATATGAATGTTTATCCATGTGTATTTTTTTTTTTTTCAAATATTTATTTATTTTAGTTTTCGGCAGACACAACATCTTTGTTTGTATGTGGTGTTGAGGATCGAACCCGGGCCGCACGCGTGCCAGGCAAGCGCGCTACTGCTTGAGCCACATCCCCAACCCCCGATGTGTATGTTTTTAGGAAGGAAAAGATAAGATGGCTATTTTTTAAAAATCTAAGTAATTAGAATGTCTAAAAACGTGGAGTTTCTATGGATTCTGCAATCACTGTTTCAGTGGAGCTCTCAATTGATTTCCTTACTCATTCTTGCATCCTTATGTATAACAGATTTCATCATTTTGTCACTGTGGTATGGTTTGCTACTTCCTATGTGGGTACCTTGGGAAGAAAGTGATAGAAAAGTTTGTTGATTTAGTCTTGGTGATTTTCTATTGTTCCTCAGCCAGAATGAGTGATCTTGAAGACTTTCATACCAGAAGCTTCAGATTCTATGACAAATCCTAAGACATGGGCTAAAATAATATCTTTTGGCCAGGACTGAAGGCTTTGCTTTTTCTCTTTATTTGTAGGAACTTACAGGCAGCAATTGGAGCCTATTATGACTTTGAGAGCCCAAACATCAGTGTGCCCTCCATGTCCTTTGTTAAAGATGTCACCATAGGAGAAGGGGAGTCAATACCTCCTGATACTCAGTTTATAAAAACATGGCGGATCCAGAATTCTGGTAAGTGTATAAAAGGCATTTCTCCCTTGTCCAGTTTGGTTCTTTGTTTTCTGAAAAAGGTTACTTGGGTATGGTTTATCTTGTAGATCTGATTGTGTGATTCTGAACTTTTTCTTATACGTGCATGGTATGTAGAATTTTCTTGTACAGCATGATGACAAATATTAGTGAAACATCCCTGCTTTCCCTGCTCAAGAGTAGGAATAATAGTTTAGGTCTCATGCTTCCAAGCCTCTAAGTCTTGATGGAATCTAAACAATCCAATATTCATTTGGTACTTGGAGCTAGGCTTGTTTGTGGTGGAGTATTGTTTCCACCTGTACATTTTTCTCCATCATTTTATTTCTGCTCTAATAAATCTTCCAGTCATTTCCAGCAGGCTCACGGAGGTACCTTGAATAGAAAAAGGTTGTTGGAAAGACCTGTGAGCATCTGCTCTTTTGAAAGCTCATTTCTTTGCAATCACAAGAATGATTTTTTTTTTTGAAATTTCATTGAAAGATCTTTGAAATACACTTTGAAAAATATTGTTGGTGGGTTTTGTTCAGAAGAGGAGGGAACTTATTTGAAAACAAGTGATTGGGTTTTTTTTTAGTTATACATGGACACAACATCTTTATTTTGTTTATTTATTTTTTATGTGGTGCTGAGAATCGAACCCAGGGTCTCACATGTGCGAGGCGAGCACTCTACCACTGAGCCACAACCCCAGCCCCAAGGGCATTGTTTTGATGATCTACTACCTCTTTTAAGACAAATTGGAAATAAGTTAACCATAATTCTTTGAAAATAATGTCTGAATACATGTCTGGTAACTTAATTTACCTTTTATTTGTCAAGTTCTTTATTTCCTCAGGTTTAGTTTCTCTTCCCCATCTAATAATAATTTATTCTGACTGGTTGAAGTTGCTTTAACTTCCTTGTTAATGAAGACTTTCCAGAGGAACTCTGAGTGATGGAAAACTAGGCAAAAAGTATGTAGCTAAAAATGTGTAGGTGTTTGGGGGGTATTGTTCAGAAGCAATTAAGCAAGGTAATTTGATATGAGATGGTAAAAAAAAAAAAAAATCTGGGGACTACAGCAGACCTATAATAACCAACCTTTTTTGTATTTTATTTAGATTCAGGGTCTTGCTGAGTTGCTTAGGGCTTTGACCTTTATTGACTCAGTTTACTTTTTGTGTTTTTGTGATGGGGAAAGATTGACTAAACTAGCCTTTTATATTAGAATAATGTACTGAATTTAATTTTTTTTTTTTCTCCAGCATGTTTAGAAATAATTCTCCTTGGAGGAAAGTTCAGTGTGTCACTAACCAAATGCACATAATCTGGACAGATTCAGTGTTGTAGGTGACTTAGGGCAACTATGGTTTTGTAAAATTTATTAACCCCTTTCCCTTTTGGTTATGACACTTGTGCATTGTTAGTTTGGGAGGCACATGGTGATATAGGAAAATAACTGCATTTTTCTTTCTTCCTTTTTTATTTTCTTGAAGTTCTTACTTGGTCAAAGATTTTTTACTTTGCCTAATTTCTTTCTCACTTTTCCTAATTTGGCTTGCTTTTAAAAATATCAAAACAGTCTTCAGTTTCTATTCATCATATTTTTTTCTCTGAATTACAAATACCAGCTGTTACTGATCAAAAGTGCTTTGGAAACGTACATGTGAAATTATTTTATGAGTGAAGTTTTCTGTAAAAGTATGACTTATTCAAAAGTTTTTTAAAAAATATAACTCAGGATCTTGTTTACTTATAGTGAGTTCGTTAGTATTTTTAAATATTGAAAGTTGTTAGAGTACTGTTGAAATGTCTTAAATACTGTCTTGGTCACAGAATAACATTTATATATCACTTACTAACCACACTAACCAAGAGAGTTCCTTGGATTAATGGGAGGGGTTGGGGAAGTTGAGATATAATGGCTGTAATGTCAAATCAGAACCACCTTAATTCAGAAAAATCTCTGATGGTGGGCCTGGCTGCTTTTTTCTTCTCCTTTGCTTGGTAGTGGCGGTTTAAAAAGCCTCTGGGTCTGTAGCCCTTCTTCCTGTTTGTGAGAAGGCATTCTTGTGTCTGAAGTTTTGTTGAAACATTGGGCTGCAGTTACTACTGGAGATTTTATCTTTCAAGGTGCTTTGCACAAATAGGTTTTCCATTTTTCTGGACATTGTTCAGCCAATTGTAGTCTTATATCTGTAAACTGGATGTTTTCCATTTGGTTAAGGATCGGTCCCTTTGAATAGCAAATGTGTTATTAAAGAGAATGTATACTGGTTCTTTGATCTCATCCCAATCTCTTATTTATTACTTTAAGAGACAAGTGCTTACTGAAAGAATTACATAAAAATAATTTTTAAGGCATCTCCTTGCTACCTTTTTTTTTTGGGGGGGAGTGCGGGTAATGGGGATTGAACCCAGGGGCACTTAATCACTGAGCCGCATCTCCAGCCTCTTTTGTATTTTATTTAGATTCAGGGTCTTGCTGAGTTGCTTAGGGCTTTGATAAGTTGCTGAGGTTGGCTTTGAACTTGAGATCCTCCTGCCTCGGCTTCCCAAGTTGCTGGGATTACAGGCATGCACTACCCCACCCAGTGTCTGCTGCTGTTTTCTAGGCATGCTAGGCATTTACATATACAACAGATGGGATTGATAGGACCTGCATGTAGCTTTTCAACAGCTTCCACAAAGAAGGTAAATGTCACATACTGTTTAAACGCTTAACATTGAATAATATACATACATAATTCCAGGATCTAAACTTTTGTCATTGTAGAAATATTGAAAGCTTGGGAAGTCTGAGCAGGAAAACTTAAAATTGGAGGTTAAAGTTAAAATTCAAAACTGTCCCTCGAAAAATGTGTGTAGACAGAATCTTTACCAACAATACTTCTTGGTTATTAATATTATAACATTATGCTCTGTTGGGTGTGGTGGCACATGCCCAGTAATCCCAGTGACTCTGAAGGCTGAGGCAAGGGGATCCCATGTTTAAGGCCAGCCTCAGCAAGTTAGCCAAACTCTGTCTCAGAAAATAAAAGATAAGGTCTGGAGTTGTAGCTCAGTGGTAGATTGTCCAGGGGTTCAATTCCCAGTATCCAAAAACAAATCCAAACCACAACAAAACCCCAAAACAGAACTCCATGCTGGGTCTCCTAGCTGTAGTAAAAGTTAAGCTGAGCATGTTACAATAACTCTGGATCAGGTGGGCCTACTGATCTAGAGTCTTATTTTCTGAACTCCATAGAAGTATATATAGAAGTATAATATAAATATAAAACAAGGTTTGGGGATAGAACCTGAGAACGAGCAACTATTTCCTCTGCTTTTCTTTTCATTTATTGAAATAGTTAATTTTCTGTCTTTATTTTATGATTATGAGAAAGTATAATAATAGGGAAGTAATATTATAGAGAAGATACTTTAACATTTTAGTATGTTCCAGTTTCTTTATTAGGCACAGGGGAGAACTGGTGACAAGGCCTGGTGATAAAGGTCTTTGTTTTCTTGGAACTTTATTTGAAATGTAGTCTCCACACATAGAGGTTAAAAAAGAGATGTTCATTGAGGTTTGTTTCCCTATTTGGATGTTCCTGCCTCCAAATTATTTCTGTAATCACCGATAGTAACTCTCAGGCTTTCTGGAACTGTTGAATAGCTTTCATCTGATTTTTTGTGATACTTTCTACCATTCTACCATGATAGGGTTTTTTTTGTTTTATTTTTACTTATTTTTATTTATGTATTTCTTTATTATGCAGTTCTGGGGATCAAATTTGGGGCTTGTGCATGCTATGCAAATCTTCCTCTGAGCTACATCCACAGCCCTTTTTAAAAAAATTTGAGACAGGTTCTTGGTGAGTTGTTTAGGCTGGCCTTGAACTTGTGATCCTCCTGCTTTGGCCTCCTGAGTTGTTGATGTGCCAACACATCTGGCTGTATTATTTTTGTTTAAATAAAGTGATGTTTCATAACTAGAACACCACAATCTTAATCATACACTATATATTTATACTTGGAAATCATAAAACACAGATATTGTCTTTATTTTTCTTCTAGATAGACCTATTTTCCATTAAACCGGTTTGTAACAAAGAATTTGAAGTCCTGTTGCATAATAAACTATTTAAATTCAGATTCCAGGTATGGTGAGGTTGGTGGCCCAAACAGCTCACCAGTACTTCCTTTCATTCTATATTGAGCATTTAGTATCTTGAGCTTTTCGAAATTATCTGACCTAATAGTTATGACTTTAAGAACTCTAAATACATCATCGAAAACTCTCAGAAGGCAGTTGATTGTTTTTTCCCCCCCTTTTCTCTTTTTTTTTTAAAAAATATTTATTTTTTAGTTGTAGTTGGACACAATATCTTTATTTTATTTTTATGTGGTGCTGAGGATCAAACCCAGGGCCTTGCACATACTAGGCGAGTGCTCTACAATCCCAGCACCCCAGTTTTCTTAAGATGATTTGTTATTCCACTTCATAGCAGATTAACACGTTGGCATTGATGGTGGGTAATTCTTCCATTTTTTCTTCAAGAAGCTCTCTTGGTACCATGACATTGAGCAGTTACAGTTATCTGTGGTACCCAGGAGAGTGAGCCTTGGCCAGACCATTAAATGTTGCCCATTTGGTGTTTTACTAACTCACTCTGATTCTCTGGAATATAAAAGTGCTCCTATTAGTATCATTAAGAGACTTGACAGTCTCAGATACTTGTGGTTGTCTGCCCAGGATAGGCGAGTCTCTCCTCACACTCAGACAGTCTTGGTTTATTTTATTTTTTTGGAAGTTAAAAAAAAAAAAAAGATATTTTGGGATTTCATATAAACAGACATTGTCTTGTTACGCATATGTATGTGAGAGAGAGAGAGAGGGAGAGAGAGAAAGGCAAGGGTGAGGTATTTAAAAAAAATATATATATATAAAGTTTTAGGTGGACACAGTATCTTTATTTTACATTTATGTAGTGCTGAGGATCAAACCCAGTGCCTCGTGCATGCTAGGCGAGCGCTCTACCACAGAGCCACAACTCCAGCCCCTGTGGGGTAGTTTTTTAAGGAATAATTTTAAATTGAGACCTGTAGCAGTTTACTTGGGGTGAGGGGCAGTACTGGGGATTGAACTCAGGGACACATAATCACTGAACCACATCCCTAGCCCTATTTTGTATTTTATTTGGAGACAGGGTCTTACTGAGTTGTTTTACATCTTGCTTTTGCTGAGGCTGGCTTTGACCTTGTGATCCTCCTGCCTCAGCCTCCCAAGCTGCTGGGATTATACAGGCGTGCGCTACTGCGCCCAGCAGTAGTTTACTTTTTTATGTTGAATTTTAGTCTTTAAGGAGACTTGACATTTTTAAGGTACTTTTATGTCCATTACTGTTAGTCTTGACCTAAGAGAAATATGCTTTTGCTATGCCACAGTCCTCAGAAATGAAAAGCAGAATTTGCATGTTTTGCAAGTATATCTCCCATAATACTTCTGCCATTATAGATTGCTCTCTATAGTGTTAAATTAAGGAGCGCTTTGCTATCAGTTTTGTTTGTTTGTTTGTTTTTAAAGAGGTAGAGTTTTGCCATTTCCCAGGCTGTTCCCAAACTCCTGGGCTCAAGCAATCCTCTCCTTCAGCCTCCGAAGTAACTGGGACTATAGGCATGTGCTACTGAACTTGGCTGGTGGCAGATGTTTTAAGAGAGTATATGCCAAGACATATACTATATGTTAGACACTGTTTCATGTACTACCCCATAAAAATGAGGAGCTGCAAAGGGTGCTGTTTATAATGGAGTTGAAACCTCAGCAGTAGATCGCTGTTTGCTCTTTTTTGTCTGTTTCCTTTCTAGTAGTTGGCGGTCGGATATGTTTAAAACCAATGTGGCACTTTGAAAGCAAGGAGTTGAGGCATCCAAGGGTATTACTTGGAGATAAATCACAAGTATCTTCTGTCATGAGAGTCCTGCCATGTCCAACTTTTCAGAGATATTTATAATGAATTTTTATATTGCAGAAAAAAGATATATAGAGGGCTATGTCTATATTTAAAGGGAATATATTAGGTTTTTCATATTGGAGAGATTTCAGAGGTAAGATTATATCTTGTCATTGTATGGCTACCTGTACCACTTGACTTGTCAGAGGTAGTCAACTCATAGATTTCTCATTTGAATTACATGTTTTCAGTTTAGGTGTAAATAAGCATGTAAAGTACATACCAGGTAAGATCTTTGGCCCTTCCAAAGGAAGAAAAACATTCTTCCTAAAGCCAGTTCTTCATATTACTATTCCCATCCTTTCCATCAGCACCTCTGGCTGGTTCATGGGACCACAGTTCATTCATGATCATGTAATGGAGATCACCTCATTGTTTGCATTTGACCCACTGCCATTTGAACTTGAGATCTAAACTTTTATTTGATGATTGCTTGTATTTGAGGAGTCTCTTGAACCTGGGTATTTTATAGTTAAGGATTCCAGAAGAAAGATCATATATCTGGCAAAAAACAACTTTACAGTGATACTAGTATAGACATTATTATTCATGTGTTTGATTCTCTCACCTCTGTGGAAAAGGTGGGAATAATCAGACATTTTTACTTTGAATATCAGCCTAAGTCCATATAAAAGTGAACATGTATTATCTTTTAGTAGAGAAAGCAGTTTCCTAAAGGTATGGGCCTATGCTTCATCTTCTTGACTCTTCATGGACATCACCTGAAACATCTTCTTAAAGAACTGCTTTGTCTTTGCTATAAGTGCATTCTCTTAGGGATAGACTCTTGGTCAGAGGTTGTCGATTCTGATAATTCCTTCTGATCAGTTAGACATTGACTAACTCAGTTTGTAGGTAGGTTTTTGTATGTATGTGAGATGGAGAAAGGGGCTTCTTTATAGTTTCATAATAAACTACACCAAGCATAGGACTACTGATGACCTAACATTTTTTTTTTTTTCCCTTGTGCTTGAACTCAGGGGCAGAGGCCTGGCCTCCAGGGGTTTGTCTTAAGTATGTCGGGGGAGACCAGTTTGGACATGTGAACATGGTGATGGTGAGATCATTAGAGCCACAAGAAATTGCAGATGTCAGCGTCCAGATGTGCAGCCCCAGCAGAGCAGGAATGTATCAGGGACAGTGGCGGATGTGCACTGCTACAGGACTCTATTATGGAGGTGAGTATGTTCTTGTATAGCTCAGGGTGAAGGAATTAAGGTAATATCTTGTAATATCCCCACTGTTACTCACATAGTCTGTGGAATTGCATAACAGGGCATGGCCTCTTTTACACATGCAGATAAATGACTTGTGTTTAATTAATGAGTCGCTGGTTGAATCTAATGCTCTCCCTTTTATCCTAAGAATTTAATTAAAATTTAGCAAAGTGTATGTAGTATTGTGTTTAGCATTCAAATAATGATTTATGGTGCCATTAATTTTATTATATAATATGGTAGATACTAAAAGAAAACTGAAGGCAGACCTTATTCTGAGTCTCTAGGCATAAGTCATATAAAACAGGTAATGCACAAAATGTATGTCCTCCTTCCTGTCTGATGGTAGGAAACAGATGCTATTAACACTTGTCCTTCCTTCCCAGACTTTTTGAAGTAATCTGTACTGTTTCTCCTCCCATATTTTCTATTCACTCTTCAACTCATTCTGTCGTTTACCTGCTTCCCATTCTAATGAATGCTTATTTGTCAGCAACTACCCAGTTGACATATCCAGTAGCTTCTTTGCAATCTTCACGCTAGTGGATCTTCTAATTTTCATTTGGTACTATACTACAAATGGTTTTTGCAGTGTGTACCTTCTTAGGTTCATATTATACTTCTCCTGTTTCTCCTCTCTGAATATCTTTCTTGTCGCTTATCTAGTCTCACCTTTGCCCCTGGATTACTATATTCCAAACTGGGTTCCATTCAGGCTCAGTGATCTCTTCCACCTATGTGACTTCAACTCTCACTAGTATATTATAGATAGTGATGCTCAAATTCCTATCTATGGCTATAGCTTCTTTGGAGAGCTCCAAACCTGTGTTTCAACTACTTATGGGCAGAATTTATGGCACAGATTTCTGAATTTCTGAATATCTTCTAGACAAAACTTGCATCCTTCTCATCAGCATCCTGTTAAGATAATCAGGTCAGAAAATTTGGATCAATCATCTGTTCTCTCCATTTTTCTTAATCACAAACCAATTTCTGTTGGTTCCACTGTATCCTGTGCCCTGAAGATCCACAGAGAAATAGTAAATGGTTAAATCTTACCTGGACTCATGGCCTATAGGCCAGTGGGACCTCTGAGTTATTTCAGAGGCTCTGGAACTAATGTTCTCATATGTTTTTTTGCCAGTGGAAACTTTTAATATTTTTAGTTCCAAAAAATTTTAATAGTAGAGTCTTTCATGGTGTTTATGTGACATCATTCTTTGCCTAAAGCCCTTGTGCCTACTGTAATGAAGCCAAATTCCTTGGCATGTGATTAAAGCACCTCACAGTCTGGCCTCATTTTTATTTGTATTTAGTCAAATAAAACTCATAACTCCGTCATGGTTTGTCCCTGAAGATGCCACATGTTGTCACTTTTCCATGCCCTTGCTCATGTTCTTCCCATTGCTTGAAATATCCTTTTCTTTCCCTTTCCAGCAAACTCCTGATCATCCTCAAGGCCCTGATGGAGTTACCTACCCTCTCCCGCCCCTCGGCTTATTCTGCACTACCCCAAGGAAATTTATCCCCCCCCCATTTTTTTAATATTTATTTTTTAGTTGTAGTTGCACACAATACCTTTATTTTATTTTATTTATTTTTATGTGGTGCTGAGGATTGAACTCAGGGTCTCGCATGTGCAAGGCAAGTGCTCTACTGCTGGGCCACAACTCCAGCCCTTACTCTCCCCTTTTTATTAATGTGCACCTGCTTGTTTTTATACTTAAAGCACTGTTATTTCAGGGGCTTGTTAACTTGGTAAAATTGTGAAGTATTGATTGAACACCAAATGAAAATGTAACCACATATCAAAATGCAGAGAGATTATTTGTTCCTTCCTTTCAGGACTCCCTTTACAGGTGGCCTCTACTAAGAACCTTACTTATGGTTGGAGGTAATGTCTCCCACTGCTGAGCTCCATTGCATTATCTTTTCATATCGTACTCCTTTGTTTCTCTTTGGTACTTTACCCTTTTTTACTGATTAATAACGATATGTGTCTCATTTTCCTTTAAAACTTTTAAGGTGATGCCTGATTTATCTTTGTAGCTTCAAAAGCCTGAGCCCAGTACAGAGCAAAGTATGGTTACCAGTAAATTTTTAAGGGAATGTCAACATTTCTGAGGGAGGGAGGAAGATTGTGTTCATGATTTAAATTTAAAAAAATCCCTTGGATGAAAAAATTACTGCTTTGTGTTTTCCAGTGTTTGAGAACTCTAGTATTTTTATGTGTGTTTTAGTGTTAAATTAGAAGTACCGCTATATGGGACATTAAATTTTATTCTTGAAGCAACCCTCTTATATTCTAGATGTCAATGGACTATAAATATACTAGCTTTGGGAGTGATAAAGCATTTAAAGCCCTTTTTGGTCTTACCGTATTTAAATTATTTTTTGGTACTTCGTGGAAGCTGATACCTTCAAAGGATCTTAATAATTTATCTGATTTTGTGGTTTTCAAGCATTTTTCTTAGGCATTTTTCTGGATTAAAGCATATGTGAATGCCTCCTCCCCAAAAGGGAAAGGATAAAAATGAAACTTGTTTTGTGGAATTGAGCACCTCCTTGTCTTATGTTTCCTTGTCCTCTGAGATGACCTACAGAGCACTATGAAGTATAAATTGTAAACCTTCATCTGCTTCAGTAAAGAGTTTTAATTCCATTTTATAGACTGCTGTTTCTCTGAATCCAAATCACTATTGATTGTAAAACGCATCCCAGTATCCGAGATAAGCAACTAACAGTGAATATATGGCTAGAGGCATAGCTCAGTGCTAGGGCACTTGTCCAGCAGGTGCAAGGCCCTGGTTTTATCCTCAGCACTGCCCCAACCCCCCATGTGTGTATAAACATACACACACACACACACACACCATAGTACAATTGTGAACACATGAAAAAAAACAAACTACCATAATAACTATGACTGGTTCTTCCCAGTATTTTTTGCTCACCCTAAGCTTACTCGCTCCTTGAATGGAATGGAATGGTGAGTGTGGACTATAGTCTTGCTTGGACACAAACTTGGACACTAGGTGACCTCTGTGCCTCATCTTTCTGTTTTAACAACAAAGGTTTTTTTTTTTTTTTTTTTTGATGGGGTGGTCTTTAGATGGTCTTCACTAGAAAGAATCCATTCTCTCTATTCTTATAACTTTTTTGTTGGGGAAGTACTGGGGATTGAACTCAGAGATGTTTAACCACTGAGCCACATCCCTAGCAGTTTTTAAATTTTGAGATTTTTTTTCTTTTTTCCTTTCTTTTCTTTTTTTTCTTTTGTGGTGCTGGGGATTGAATCCAGGGCCTTGTGTATGTGAAGCAAACACTCTAGCAACTGAGCTATATCCCCAGTCCCCCCTTTAAAATTTTTTTTTAATATTTATTTTTTAGTTGTAGATGGACACAATATATTTTATTTTATGTGGTGCTGAGGATTGAACCCAGGGCCTCACATGTGCTAGGTGAGCGCTCCACTGCTTAGCCACAACCCCAGCCTCCCTTCCCCTTTTAAATTTTGAGGCAGGGTCTCACTACTAGCTTAGGCCTTGCTAAGTTGCTGAGGCTGGCTTTGAACTTAGTGATCCTCCTGTCTAAATTTCCTGAGTTGCTGGGATTACAGGAGTGTGCCACCATGCCTGGGTATTTTTATAACTCTTAATGTTGCTTCAGTTCATCTTTTCTTCAAAAGGAATTTTTGCTGTTTTCAATAATTTACCAAGTGTCCCCTTTCCTCTTTATTTTTAACAGGTTGTGCAGTTTCAGATTTTTTTGATAGTTGTGCTGTTAGCATGTTGTGTGGATAGTTCTTCGTCATGTGAGCATATTACACAAAAGATCCCTAGCCCTTTCCCATTAAATAACTGTTATCTGACGACCTAAACTGTTCTCTACCACACAAATTTCTAACTCTTTTGATTGGGGATCAGTAAGTGTCTGATTCTCAACACAATTCATTTGTGAGTTCCAGCATTCTTTTTACTGACTTTGATATCCCTATCATACTATCCCACCAAAAGAATTAACTTTTTAGATTTTATCTGAATAGCAAATACTAGCAAATAGTGGTATTAGCAAATTCTAGTACTTAGTGTATGTATGTTAAGTGTTTGTAATAGACTTTTTATATGTCCTTAGGAGGGTAATGGACACATTTTCTGGATGAGGAAACTGAATACCAGAGAGAACAAGTGATTTGCCTAAAGTCTAGTAAAAGTTATGGATTGGCTATGAATTAGAGTTATAAATTTACAAAAGTAATTTTGTCATTTTTGTTATTAATTTGCCTGCACATGTTGAATTTGATGAGGGTGGGGGGATGTATGATCCCCGAGTCCTTTATTCAGGTCTAGAATGGACATGAAGGTGGGATTAAGGTCAGGGTTTCTCTTAGGCAATTGGATAGATGTCACTGTTCCACAAATTCCCCCTGCTTTTTAAAACACACATACAGGGCTGGGGTTGTGACTCAGTGGTAGAATGCTCGCCTAGCATGTGTGAGGCCCTGGGTTCAATCCTCAGCACCACATATAAATAAATAAAATAAAGCTAAAATTTAAAAAAAGTAAAAACAAAAAGATAAAATCAATAACCAAGATCATTTAAAACACACACACACACACACACACACATTCTTTAGGACTTTGGGTTCTGGACATTGAGTAAGCAGAATGAATTATCCCCCTTTAGCCTGAGCAGCAACAGCAACATGCTTCTCCACCTTCTAGCATAGTGTCCTCATCCAAATTCTCCTAGAGATTTATCCCTGCATCCTAACTATTTCTTGTAAACTATAGGGGTCTCATTTGAAGTAAGCTAATGTTAAGTGATACCTTGGTTATTTTGTGCTGATGGGTGTTTCTCCTACTTGAAATAGTCCCTCATGTTAAATACCTTACATGGATTCCTAGAGACATTTCACATGTAGAATATGAGAAATTATTCATTTAGTTTCTCAGAGGTTA